ATATATATATATACATAATATATATATATAATATATATATATATATATATTATATATAATATATATATATACATATATATATATATTTATATATATATATATATACAAATATATATATATATATTTACATAAATACATATATATAAATATATATATACTGATTTGACTAAATGTCTTTTTGTTACCATATTTCCTTCTAATTAAAGAAATTTCAAAATGCGCGAATTTGAGTCAACCCAACCATATTGCAGCAAGTCTATTTCGTATTGATTCCTACAGTGTGTACACATAACACAGTAAACAGCTATGAACACTTCTTTTAATATATATATAGCCAACAAAACAGCTTGCTTACATCCTTGTTCAACAGTGACCTTCCTGATTGCGAGGTGCTTGACGCCTACGCACCCCCAACGCCAGTGATGATTGAGCACGAGAGCCAAGCGCAACAGCAAGAGAAACAACCGCACACACTAGACTCACAGTTGTCTCAGACGGCTACCGAGGAGGAGATGATGGAGGTATGATACTCTTAAGCACTTGGTTGTGAAGGGCATGCTCAGCGTAGAGTGAACCTGTTGGTGTGGCCACTTTTCAAGTTATAGGTGCACGAGTGTGTGTGCTCTATGTGTCCTGTACGTGTGTTTGTCTATGATATTAAGTAGTTGGTTGTGAAGGAGATGCTCGGCGTAGAGTGAACCTGTTGGTGTGGCCACTTTTTAAGTTATAGGTGCACGTACCAGGTGCACGAGGGTGTATAGTCTATGTGTTCTGTGCGTGCGTTTGTCTATGATATTAAGTAGTTGGTTGTGAAGGAGATGCTCAGCGTAGAGTGAACCTGTTGATGTGGCCACTTTAAGTTATTGGTGCACGAGGGTGTGTAGTCTATGTGTCCTGTGCGTGTGTTTGTCTGTGATATTAAGTAGTTGGTTGTGAAGAACATGTTCAGCGTAGAGTGAACCTGTTGGTGTGGCCACTTTTAAGCTATTGGTGCACGAGGGTGTGTAGTCTATGTGTCCTGTGCGTGTGTTTGTCTATGATATTAAGTAGTTTGTTGTGAAGAACATGCTCAGCGTAGATTGAACCTGTTGGTGTGGCCACTTTTTAAGTTATAGGTGCACTCACCAGGTGCACGAGGGTGTGTAGTTTATGTGTCTTGTGCGTGTGTTTGTCTATGATATTTTTCTCCCTGGTGATATGTATTGACATACCCACAGGTCACCTAAGAAACATCTCGCTATGTCTGTCCATCGGGTATACGGCCCTACAGAGCCAATCGCACAGTCGCCGGATTCCTGCCCAAAGTTAACAGGACCACGCGCACCTGGTCATTTGGGTTATGGTTCTAGCATTGTTGTATCACTCAGTGATCACCACTGCATCAGATTGCACCCGCATTGCCCACCCAAGACACGTTTCTATGTTTTAGGGTTTTGGGGTTTGTATCAGTGGCGGCCACTATTTCAAATCATAATACTCAATACGATCAGTATATCACGAGTGCATGACTTCACCCAACTGTACCCTACTTCTTCTAATACATGTGTGCGTGTTCAGTGTTTGACGGGGATTGTGCCTTGGGAAAGTATCACCTCCTGTCACCCTTTCAACTCCACGTGTTAACTAAACACAAACACCACATCAAACGCGTTCCAAAAAATCCGGCAGAAGACCGACAAGGACGCCACACGGCGTGGCAGGATTGCGCTAGAACTGCTCGCCACCGAAAAAACGTATGTAACGTAAACGGCCGAGTGAAGGTGGACGCAGGTTTTGTGCAAGTTTAGTGTTTGTAGACAGTCCATCGGATGCAGGTGGTGATATCAACACATGCGCGTTTAACATCGACAGACTCGGGGACTTAACATGTATGTAGACCCGATACTTGAAACGTATAATACAAACTTACACACTCTGTAGACACGTTGGGGTGTATATTGAAAATGAGGGACTTGGCATGCATATAGACCCGTTACTTGACAACACATGTAATACAAGCTTACAGACTCTGAAGCACATTGGTTTCAGACATATAGACTCGGGAATTCGGTTGCCTATAAACGGTACCTAGCAACGCGTACAATACAAGCTTACCCACTTTGTGCGCACGCTGGTTGTGCGTGGTGTACATATGAGCATCACAAAGCATATCTGTAGGTGTCTCTATTGAAATGTACATTTACACACATGGCTGTGTGTGTATATTGACAGAATGACATGTGACTGTGTGTATGGTGTATTGTAGGTATACAGAGGGTCTGCATATCCTGTTGGGCATATACAAGGCACGCATCATCCAATCGGCTAAGGGCAAAAGCTACGCCGATGCCGTCACAAAGGTACGTTTATCGATCTGTCATACGTTTTGAAGTTTATGTCTTAGGTCGTACACGTATACACATCTCTCCATGTGTTTGTGGTTTCTATGGTGATGTATAGGCTCGATCCCACCTTCATCCCGTTCAAAATTGGGTAGTTTACTACTGAAATATTCGGTGACGTAGGTGTGAATCCGGCACAGTTCCACATAAACGGGTATTGAATTGGCAGAAAAGAATGAATGATTCGACTATTACTTCGTCCACACACCTGTCGCCAACGCATTGCACCCCGTGACCCGGTCATCGGCCTCTTAGGGGCAGCCCTCTTTCGTGGTTTTGGGCCTAGAACCCTTTTTTGTCCCAGTCCTGGTCCTTTTTTCTGCGCGGCAGGTGCGGTGCGTGTGACTTATCACAACTGACAACTGGTCTGCCCACACCACTGTAGGGCGTTAATATTGTGCTGGGAAATGCGCACGATATGCTGGCTATCAGCGATCAAATGCAGGTGCAATTGGAGGCCAGGCTCAAACTCTGGGACACCCAGGCCCCAAAAGAGAGGGTATGGGACAGGGCAACCAGGCACTCCACAGACCATACCAACCCCACACGTGATAGGACAGTAGCGTGCATGTGCTATTGACGTTTAGGACAAACCACTCACTCAAACAAACAGCTGCAGATATATCAGACCCATTCACGTGTCACCAAACCTACGAGAAATGGGCTATAGGGAGAGAAGTGTGGATGTCAGTACAGAGCTTGCACAACTGTATCAATGTGTGTGTATGTTCTCCTGTTGTGGTGTGATAGACATAAGTATTAAGTACATATGTATATATATTTGGTATATAAGTATTTGTATAAAGTATATAAGTATATGTATTAAGTATATAAATATATATATTAAGTATGCAAGTACATATATTAAGTGTATAAGTATCTGTATTAAGTATTTAGGTATATGCATTAAGTATACAAGTATTTGTACTAAGTATATAATTATATGTATTAGATATATAAGTATATGTATTAAGTATGCAAGTATTTGTATTAGATTTAAAAGTATATGTATTAAATACATAAGTATACATGTTAAGTATGCATGCATATGTATTGAGTATACAAGTGCATACAGTTGCACGCTTACACACGCACTGGTCTGTCATCAGCCCAGACTGTAGCTGTCTGGTTGTGTGTATTGGCACCTCTTGCATCACTCACTCACTCACTCACTCACTCGCCTGTCTGCACTCTCTTCATAATAACTCATGCACAGATGTTAGGTGACATTGTATTGTCGTTCAGTCCCTTCTTTAAGATGTACACGCTTTACGCGCGCAATTTCGATGCTGCGTGTGAGCATCTAGACACCATGACTCGAGGTATGCCTATCACTGTGACATGTGACACGTGTCAACTGGGGGTGCATGACATGGTGTACGTGGCGGGACGTAAATGATAATGATAGTATGTGTATGTGATGGTACCAGTGATAGATTGTAAATGATAATGATAGTACGTGTATGTGATTGTACCATAATTGTAAATGATAATGGATGTGTAAGTGATTGTACCAGTGATAGATTGTAAATGATAATGATAGTATGTGTATATGATTGTACCAGTGATAGATCGTAAATGATAATGGATGTGTATGTGATT